TGCTTTGTTTCTGCCCTCCATTCCCGTCACCTGGCTGAATTTTTAGTTTGCTCTTCTCTCTGTTTCACTGATCTTTGTCTCTTCCCCTGTGCAAGGCTCACTTTGAAATAATCAGAAGCTCCTCCCATGCAGTTCACCTCTCCCCTTGGCTCGAGCTGCTTGTAGCTGGCTGCTACCTTCACTCTGTTGTCTTCAGACGAGAGAGTCCCTTTGCCATCTGGAATTGAACACCACCTTAATTTTGGGCTTCTCTCTGGGTGTTTGTATTGGCTGTTTCAGTTGTATGGGTTGATGCCCAGGGACTTTGGCTTTGTGACTTTGAAATGAGTTGTGGGGAGTTTGGGGACTGTTATAAAAAGAGCAGCAGCTTCTGCTTCACAGTTTTTGGATTCCTAAGGAGAGAATATTTCCGTCCTCTAGTCAAGCCTCCTGTTTGCTATTTGGCTTGCTTTCTTGTAGTCGAGGGGATTACTGTGCCTTGTTTTACGTTTTTGCCAGAATTTGTTCTTGCTTGGGAAGGAGCAGAGCCCACACTCTGCTGATTTCTGGCATTCATATTTCTTCTTGCTCCTCTCAGGAAAAAAAAATGCAGGAGAAACTGGAATTTGAGCGACGCCTGAACATGGGGCAAAGAGAACATGCTCTGCTTGTTCAGCAGATCAGCAGTCAGAAGGATGAGATACTGCAGACAGTGAGAGAGGTAGGTTTTCTCTGGGCAGGCCTCGTGCAAGATGCTGCCTTTCCTAAACTGACCATTTTTTCCTTTGGTTCTCTCTTGTTTTGGCCTAGGACCAGATGAGGCTGGAGGAGGGTCTGACAAAGCACCAGCGCTATTTGGAGGAGGAGCGCCTGAAGCTGCTGCAACAGTTGAAGCAAGCGGAGCAAGGCATTGCCAGCCGTATCCAGAAGCTGCTAGAGGAAAACCAAAGGTACGGTTGCAGGGTGTCTTGCAGTGATCTCTGTCCCTTGGGGGCTCCTGTTATTTTGTCCCATTCTGAGCAGTTCATTTTGCCCTTTCTGAGTGTTACGGATCTGGTCAGGATTGATGTCTATAGGTGGTGCCTTGGCTGTTGAACTGCCAAAGTCCCATTTAAAGGAAGTGGAATTTGACACCTTAAAAAATTGTGTTTCGCATATGTGTGTGCTGTTGGAGTTTTGCAGCGCTGTGGGAAAAATTTGAATTCCTTATGGAAGGTGCATATTTGAAGTATTTGAAGGTACCACTGCCTAGATGTGCTGGATCTCCTGCTGGGCTGGTGCTGATGTGACTAGCCTACTTAAAGCTGCTCTTCTGTGCATGAGAAGCGAAGTCATTTTCTAACCTCTGGGGAAGTAGGGTGTCCTGCTCAACTTGGTGAAAACCTCTTGTTTTATCTTTTTTAGGCAAAAACAAAGTTCAGACATTCTGAAATCCCTAGAGAACGAGAGGTGAGTCTCCTTGAAATAAGCTCTTCTAGAAAAGGGGCAAGAAGCTGGGAAGAGAGCTGGGACCTTCCTTTCAGAGCCACCAATCTGAATCCACCTTAAGTCAGGGGAAGTTCATCTCATTCCTGTAGCTGGTTCTGGTCACTGTTGGAGGCAAGACACTGGACTAGATGAGCCTGGTCTTACCCAGTCTGGCAAACCCAATGGGATGGTGATTTTACCTCTTTTTCATCTCTGAATGGTCCTAGCTAAGGAGTTTGGGAACAAAATCCTGTATTCCACTATCAAGGACCAACAGAAATCCTACATCTGGAAAGCAAGGCATTTATGAAGATGGTCCAGTAGCATGTACAGGCTGGGAGGAATACGTTGAAAGCAGTTCAGCCAACACTCTGAGCTAGCTTTGCCACCGAAAGTGGTTGTCCCCAGCTCTCCCCTGCCTCTATGCTGCCCCTTCCCGTCAGCCAATTGTTTGTGCTGTGGCACAGTAAACTGGATGGGGACACTGACCTGGCTGAAAATAATCTCTTTGTATGTCAGATAGTTTTCCAGCCACACCAGTTCCTGATCTTTAAGTGGTGTTGTGTGTGTTTGTGCTGGGACGAGGATGGGAGAGGTAGGAATGGAGGCCAGGCTGCTGCTTTCAGTAGCACTACTCACTTAGGTCAGCTTTAAAGTACTTGTCAAGCCTCAAGAGAAAGGAAAGCAGAAAAAGGGACTGGCACCATGTTTGGTGAGAGCATATGCACATTGCATAGATGTTCCATTTCTCAGAAAGATTAGCTTTCCAGTCTAAGAAGCAATTGTCCCCATGGTTTTGAGCAAAATTTATGTTGTCTCCTATAGACTTAGAGGTTCTTTACCAAGAAATCACTGAGACTTTCGTGTCTCTGAGAAGCACATGGCTTTCCTGAGCACGTGGCAGGGTGAATCTGCCCAGCCTTTAGGCTCTGAGCTGGGTGGGTGGAGGAGAAGTGAGACAGTGCTTATTTGAAGGAGTGGCTGAATTGTTCTTCTCTGTTTGGCAGAATAAGGATGGAACAGCTGATGGCAATAACACAGGAGGAGACGGAGCATCTGCGCAGAAGGGAGGTGGCCTGTAAGTCCAGACAACTCTTTGGGGTGGTGAGGTGCAAGAAAGACCTGATTTGTCTGGAGATGCACTTAATATGTGACAACCATGTTGGAGAGGCTCTGTCACACACACATCCTTGCTGTGTTGCTTGGTGCAGTGCAGCAGAACTGCAGGGGGTAGCACTGCACGTGTACCATAGCTGATCCGCTGCTTCCTCCTTCAGCTCACTGCCCGTTCTCCTTGAGGTGCAAACTATGCTCCCGGTGTAGCTACAGCATGTCACACAAGGAGTCTGTGAGTCTGGATATAAGCACACAAAGTGCTTCATGTTTCAGAGGTACCAAACAGATGTTAACTGATCAGGTTCATGATGCAGGAAGCGTATGCTAAACAAGAATGCTGCTAGGGAGCCTTTTCCACTCATGATGACCATGAACAGATCTGCTGGGGTTGCAAGGGAAATGGGGTGTGCGTTGTCACCCCAAGGATGGGGTCCCACTTGCAGTGGGATGGGCAGAGCTGCAGCCCATCTGAGGGTCAGTGGGCAGTGACTGGACTCCTCTGAGCTCTGAAGAAATACAAGCAGAAGCAGAGTGGAGTTTGCTCAGCTAATTTCCCAATAAATAGCTACAATTCTTGCAGCTGAATGAGTCTGCTCTGAAATGAATTAAATGAAAAAGCAAGGGCAGGTTGGAAATGGGAGAGAAGGCACTGTTAATTGCAAGTGATTGTAGCAGCAGTGGTAGATGAGAACCTGTTCTAGACACCCCCTTCTGACACAGACTGACAGCCCTTCTGTCTCTTAGCTGCCATGCAACAAATGCTGGCCGAGAGCTACAAGAACAAGCTTATCCAAATGACCTACGAGTCTCGTCGGCAAGACCTTGTCAACCAGGCCTGCTCCAGGTACAGCGGGAGATGTCTGGGGCTGGTGGTACTGGTGTAGTCTCCTTCTTTCCAGCAGTTCCTGGTGTAATTCCCATATACACACCCAGGAACTCCTGCAGCTGCTGGAATGCAGCGAGACAGCTGTGTAAGAGCAGGTGACAATGCAATTTACAGAGACTCTCAAACTTGATTACATGAACCACCTTCTAACCACAAGAATATGCATGTTAATCATACTTTGGATGAACTATCGCTTTTTTACACTGTTTGTTTTACTTTATACATTCTGCTAAATATGGAGGATGAAATTAAACTGTCTTCTTCCTGTTTTGTTAGCCAGTTCAGTGTCAAAATCTAGCACAGAACTCCTTTCCTCACCCCAGGCTATTCTCAAGGATGCTGTTTGTTTACATGTAGGACTTGCTGCATCACTATAGGTACCGAGAGCATTCTGGCTCACTTTATTTACATGAAGGTGAGAAATATTAATCTGGCAGCATCTGGCACTGAACAGAAGCAACGTTGTGTGCCTGTGACCTGCTCAACAGTGGGCAGTGGGCCGACATGGTCCTGCCTGCAAGTGCGGGCAATATATGGCCACATTGTCTGGGTTTCATTCATCAGCACACCCTTTCCAGTGCAGAATACCAACGTGCAAATTCATCACCTGAGGAGCTTGCTGGGGCAGCAGCAGCCCCTGTTTGGGCTTCAGGCCGTGCACATGCAGGCAGCGGTGCTTCTGCTCTGGCTTGGTCTGTGATGCAGGTTTAGTTTGGTTGTAGGGAAGGAGGTTTTAAATCTGTCAGCCTTCGGCTGTGCAGTGCTGTGGCTCTTCACCCTTGTTCGGTAACAAATTTCTCCATTCCTGGATTCCTTGTTGCCTGCTTTTCCTCTTGCATGCATCAAGTCTCACAGCCAGCCGTAACTCCATGGCAAATCCATCTTCTTGCAGCCTGGCTGAGATGGATCAGAAGTTCCAGCAAATCCTGGCTTGGCAACAGCTGGATCAGAACAAAGCTGTTACTCAGATCTTGCAGCAGGTAGGCAAGGGAGCAAACTGCTTGCGGGGGGATCAAGGGAAAGTGACTGCATGCAAAAGCAGGATTGAGAGTGGATCGCAGGAGCACAGGAGCAACAGTGGCTGGGCTGGGTGGCATGCAGAAGTTACTTTATTTAACACTATGTGCTAAACTTTGAGAATCTCTGGTATTCTAACAAACTGGCTTCGGTGTTTGAAAGAAAAATGTATTTATTTTTTAACTAGACAGCAAATTTTCAGAAAAGACAGAAGCACAGACCATGGGAAGCAAAACTGATTTGATGATTAATAGAGAGGATTCTGAGACAGAAGTCCTGTCTTTTTGACTGTTTTCCTGGGTGACTTGGAGCAAGCTGCCTACAGGAAGCATTTGCAAAGCCTCTGCTCCTTTTGAATACCTCATTTTGAACCTGAGACCTCTGTAACTCATTTTTTAGAAGTGCTGGGCAGCCATGCTGTATTGCTTCGGTGCTTGCTCAGTGCTCCTGAAAATGAGAGGTGGGTTTCATATGCAGCCTTCAAGATGTGTGTTTGAAGAACATGAATATAATTTCTGTCTCTGTCTGTAAAATGGGTTTTACCTTTTGGGACTCTGGGATCTAAGTCATGGTGTAATCAGGACACTGATTACCCTGAGTAAGCACTGTTCAGGTGCTTGAACATGAGTCACTGCAACGTACCAGAGTTTCTTGGCCGATTTGCAGCTGCGTCAGCAACCTCACTAAGCAGGATTTTGCCTGTCCCCTAGATTGAGATGCAGAAAGCTGCCTTTGAAGCTCTCCAAGTGAAGAAGGATCTTATGCACAGGCAGATCAGGAACCAGGTGAGTCAGCAACAGAGGAAAGAGCAACCAGCTACTCGGCTCATACTGCCATTCGATGAGACACTTCTGAGGAATATCAAAGTGCTGTGAGCATAGAACAGGGTCTGGAGGAAATGAAGAGCTCGTATCGCTAAGAGCTCTGTAACAAAGTGTTGGGCAGTGTTGGTTAAACTACAGTCTCACAGCTCCATAGGAGGGAGTGTCAATGCAGGTTTTAGATTTGTGGCATTGCCATTGCTTCAATCATCCCAGCACTAACGTGGATGAAGTGCTGGAGGGTGGTCACTAGAGGACAGACCTGCATTGGCTCTGTGGGGGTGATCTGTAATTGCAACTACAATTTCCTTCAGGTTGTGTACTTAGCAGGGCTGCTGTTTCCACATGAGTCCGCTGCATCTCCATCCAGCACATCAGAACTGCACCTCGAGCCATAAGTTCACCTTTTCTTTCCCATTCTCAGCCTGCCTTTCTGAGCTACATTCTGCAGATGGTGCAATGTGATAGTGGGGTGGAAGAGCAAGAGCTGGTGGAGAAATTAGTGGTGGTTGATTCATGAAGATGGGAACGTAGTGATGGTTGATGGATGAAGATGGGTGGCTGGTTTCTGACACAGTGCTCCAAAATCTTCCCTCTCCTGATCTGATGCTAGCAGAAAAGTCTCAGGTCAGGAGTTAGTGGATAAGCTTAAGAGCTTGGATATATTGAGTCACTCAGTGACCAATCTCTGCTAGAAGCCTATGGATTGTGCATGGACAATCCAGGAGATTAGTCTAACAACTCTCCATTGCTTGAGTTCATCAATAAGAGCCCTGCAGTTTGCTTGCACTTACTCTGTAAACAAAGGGAATTTGTTCCTTGATACCATGGCTGGACCTTTTACTATTGAAATCCAGCCCAGCCCACCAGCATCCTGCCCAGGCGGTGAACGGGCAGGAGCCCTGGGTACTGCCTGCTGCAGAGCCTCAGTGTCAGCAGGAGTTTCGTGGTCAATGGTACACATTAAATAGTGTGGCCTGGGGATGGTAGATAGCCTGGCAGATATGTGAGCTGGGCTCTCATCTTGGCTTTGCTGTGGGATCTTGGGCAACTCATTTCACCTCTCTGTGTCTCAGTTGCCCCACCTGAAAGAGCATGTATCATTATGGGATTTGCTGGAGCATCTAGAAACCAGGACCCTGCCCCAGTTAATCTGCAGTTTGAGCGGCGGTGCTAGGAAGACTTTGACAATTAGTTGCTGCCTTCCAGAGTGGCTGCAAAAGATTTGGCTGAACAAACTGATTGCAATGTGCTGCTAGACTTGAACAGAAAGCGTTTAGAGGAGAGAGGCAATTAGAGAGTGGGGGAGACAGCTCCTCTGGCAAAAGACGAAGAGCGACCCTAAGAGCATGCATCACGGAAGGGCATTAGCAGGTTTCCCAAACTTCTGGGCGGCTCTGCAGTCCCATCCCTCCCAGGGCAGCAGTTAGACTGCATTTTAAAAGAGCATAAATTAAAGTAATTTCAAATGTCAGTAAAAAATGTTTCATCTTCTGTTTAGATTAAATTAATAGAAACAGAGTTATTGCAGTTGACACAGCTGGAGTTAAAGAGGCAAGAACTGGACACAGAGACGCTGCAGGTATGTAGGGCTCTGGGGCTGCCCCACCACCCTCTCTCTGCTCTGGGATCGCAAAAGCTCCACTTGCTTCTTTTGCTCCTTGCAGTTTCCAGATGGTTTTATGCTTAGTCAGAAGGGTGCTTACCCACAGGACACCACAAAACCCTCTTTGCCGTGTTAACGTGGGAACATTGCTGCTACTCCTAAACATCTCAGTGCATTTTCAGACAAACGAGCCGGCCCTGATAGCAATGGGCAGTTCCAGGTTTGCTGAGTGGGGAAGGACTTTGCGATCCAGTTGTTGACTGTCCCAGAAACACCTGCCTGCCGTGCATCGCATGTCTTCTTACCTGGTTGTGTTGTGGTTTGTTTTTAAATACCTGCCAGTGATGGCTGTCAGCTCTCCCCCTTAATTTCTAAGCCTTGTCTTGCAGGCTGCTCTGCCCCACCATCCCACCATTCAATGGGCTGACTTCATCAGCAGTCACACATTGAGGAGTATCAAGTTTGGCTTAAGCAGCTTGGCTTTAAATTTTGTTATTATGCCTTTGCATCAGTTTTTTTCTTGTTTGCGCTATATTTGCCAGATTAGGTCATCTGCTTAGTCAGCCTGAAATCAGTAGCAAACACCATACACTTGCCAAGAGTAGTGCAGACAGCAGGTTGGTAAGTGCTGACTTAAGACAGGATTGCCCCTGAGCCCTGTGCTGGACACCTAGAAGTGTAAGATATGGATTATGCCACCTTAACTCAGGCAGCTCCTCTGTACGACCGCCCAAAGTTCTTGCAGGGAAGCTGAACCAAGGAACCCCAGGCAGATGTAGTGCAAATGATGCTGGACTTGGGCCATTCCTGTTAGGTGGCCACAGGAGCTCCAGGGGAGTGCAGAAAATGAGGGGCTCTGTCCTAGCACCCATCTGCAGCCCAGCAGGCAGCACAGTACATTTGCAGTTTCAGCACTGGATGCTAAGAAACGAAGGCAAAACCAACTTCACCTGTCTGGAGACTCTGCTGCCGTTTGGTGGTCTACAGCCCAAAGGTTCCCTATGGTGATTGAACCCCCCCGGGCATGGGCAGTGCCCACAAAGTGCTTTGGCAGAAGCTTTTCTGCAGTCATGCTTGATACCTCCTGTGCAGCAGACAGTTGCTTCCTCCCCTATGATACAGGTGCCTTAGTAACAAACTTGATAAATCATTGGAAAGCGGGAAGACCCAAAAACACTCTCAGAAAGGGAGACGTTTGCACAGGTCTCTTGCAAGGTCAGGCTGGGAGAGCGAGCGATCCCGGCAGGGTGTCCGCAGCATGGGTGAGCAGGAGAGCTCCTCTCATGGTTAGCTGAAGCTGCCTGGGTTTCTCATCTGGGGCAGCTCCCACATGCCATTAGTTGTCCCTCTCACCTCTGTGGAGGTCCTGACGCTTCCTGCCTCCATCAGGGCAAAGCATCTCTGACCAGCTAACAGTGGGGTTTGCCTGTGAGAGGCAGGCAGTCCTGCCTCCTGCTTA